ATTTTTTTTAAAGTTTTTGAAAAATTTTAAAATTTTTTTTTTTTTTTTTTTTTTTTTTTTTTTTCTTTCCTGGGTTACGTTATCATACACATATTGCTATCATTTGATATTCTAGAATTTTGGGATTGAGATTGAGGTATTGGGAGATTTTTGTAAGGGTCTCAATTAGAAACGGAAGAGACGTTTGGTTCATGAATTAAAATTATGATATTAGAATCATTTTCGATTTACGTGTATTTTTTGTGAGAGAAAACACTGTAGCGAATCATGAACCATGATTCAAATCAGGGTACGAATCCCCTTACCAAACACACCCGGAGATTTTTGGGTCCGGTTTATTTTTTATTTTTTATTTTTTTTAAATAGGATCAGATGTGGGTTTTTGGTTCTCACGTGAGAGGCACATACATTTCCCCTCGTATTTTAACAGATTTTAATAGATGTTAACAAGATGTGTTAGGCCTCGTTCATTTCACAAATTTGAGTTTTTAATTCGAGTTGAGATGTGACATTTTCTGAGAGCTTTTCACTGTAGTAAAAAAAGTTAGCTGCGATATTTTTTGAGAGTTTTTTACTGTAAAAACCTAAAACTGAAAACTCGAATCTGTGAAATAAACGAGACCTTAGATTGCAAGAGTTTAGCAAGTTTCGGGAACAAATTTAAGGGCAATTTGCTGGAACGAATAAAGTTTCGGGAACAATTGTGTTAAAAATTCATTTAGATCACTCCGTTCATTTTACCGATTTGAGTTTTATTATAATAAAAAACTCTTAGAAATAATAGTATTTAATTTTTTTATTACAGTAAAAAATTTTCACATAAAATCACATCTTAATTTGAATTAAAAACTCAAATTTTTGCAATGAAAAAAAAAAAAAAACCAAATGAAACGGTGAGTTTCAATTTCATCAACTGTTGATGTTGGCGTTCATTATGAATGGATGGAAGAGCACAGAGATGATAGATATATGCGGTGTGTATTTATGGTTCTCTTACTCTAGTATCATCTAGGCCAATCCATGGACGCCCTGCACTACTTTCAGGCTAACATGGCTTGCCGCCATAACATCTCATTATCATCATCATCTTCTTCTTCTTCTCTTTCGACCCCAAAATTCCTCTCTGCTTTCAGTCCCATCAACCTCTCCAAACATGTTAATGGTAGCAGAAAAGAAATGCGTGGAATTGTAAGACCAGAAATGCTCGGCCAGTTAAAGACTGGCCTAGAATCAGCTCTGAACAAGCTCAAAAAGCAAGGTTTTTTTTTAATTTTATTTTTCTTCTTTCTAATTTTTGGCGAGTTCTGATTGCTAGGAGTTATGTTTAATTGTTTGTGAATTTCCTTTTGCTTAATTCAGAGACTTTTCCAGATTTTAGGAGGTCCTCGTGGGAAGCTGATGTCGTAAGTGATCATGCTTTGTCATAACTTTAAACTTTATATGTTAATGTCTGGATTAGAGAGTAATACTTTTTATTTTATTTTATTTTATTACAGTTAAGTCCTCAATCTGTTGGAGAAAGAGGGGTGTTAATTGAAAGAAGAAATATAGTTATATTAATGGGTGGCATAATAACTGGAGCCCTCTGGAATGCTTCCAAGGAGGATGGAATTGCTGCTGCAGCCCAATTTGCCGACAGTAATATATCTCTTCCTTTCCGAAAATTGCTAAAATACTATACATTTTTTGTGGCACATCACAACATAAATCCAGCTAATTAATTATACAATTTTTGTGGCAGTTTCTCTTCTTTTTGCTCTGTCTAGACAAATCAGATGTGAATGTAGCAATACTCTTCTATTTTTAGCCCGAAAAAAATAGTTTGGATATAATATTTCTTAGGCAGCATTAATTTTAGAGAATTTTTGGACGCCCTTTCACATCGTTATTTCTGTGAATTTGTAATAGAATGAGTTTAATCTGGTTGGAAAATTGACGTGCATATTGAATAATAATACAGTGCCAGCAATAAGAGGGAAGGACTATGGGAAGACGAAAATGCGGTATCCGGACTACACAGAAACGGAATCAGGTCTTCAGTATAAGGTCATCTATCTTCCATTGCCATTATTCCAAACGTCGTCTCTTTTCTCTTGGTTATATTATTGGTTTTCTTTATTTTTTTTGTCCCATATTTATGTTTCCACAGCCTCCACTATCTGTAGTCAGTTTGATTCTTAATTATCTATCTATGAAGAATGCAGGACAATTGCTGCCGCAGCCCAATTTGCCGACAGTAATATATCTCTTCCTTTCCGAAAATTGCTAAAATATTATACATTTTTTGTGGCACATCACAACATAAATCCAGCTAATTAATTATACAATTTTTGTGGCAGTTTCTCTTCTTTTTGCTCTGTCTAGACAAATCAGATGTGAATGTAGCAATACTCTTCTATTTTTAGCCCGAAAAAAATAGTTTGGATATAATATTTCTTAGGCAGCATTAATTTTAGAGAATTTTTGGAGGCCCTTTCACATCGTTATTTCTGTGAATTTGTAATAGAATGAGTTTAATCTGGTTGGAAAATTGACGTGCATATTGAATAATAATACAGTGCCAGCAATAAGAGGGAAGGACTATGGGAAGACGAAAATGCGGTATCCGGACTACACAGAAACGGAATCAGGTCTTCAGTATAAGGTCATCTATCTTCCATTGCCATTATTCCAAACGTCGTCTCTTTTCTCTTGGTTATATTATTGGTTTTCTTTATTTTTTTGTCCCATATTTATGTTTCCACAGCCTCCACTATCTGTAGTCAGTTTGATTCTTAATTATCTATCTATGAAGAATGCAGGACTTGCGACTTGGAGATGGCCCTGGTCCTAAGAGGGGCGACACTGTTGTGGTACAACACCCCTTTATTTCCTTTTCATTGTCTTCTCTTTATTTTTTTTTCAACTGTCCAAAAAATATATATATATATATATTATTATCAAATTGGTAATTGCATCACCACATATCAATGTTGGTGAGTTAGCTAACTTTTTTTTTTCATGATCGATAGTTGTCTCTTATTGACACACATGTAGTGATGCATCACCAGACACTAGTGATACCAATGCTCACTATTAAATTCATGGCGAACATTTTTGCGTCTAATATGTTGAAAGAGTAGTGTTCTAAACATACTTTTGAGTAGAGATGCTACAAAGTTTGACCTAAAACAACCCAATACAAATGGAAATAGATGTTACTCTTTCATGTTTGAGTTAGGTGGCTTAAGTTAGTTTTTGACTTTTCAATGCAATTTCAGGTTGATTGGGATGGTTATACTATAGGATACTATGGCCGTATATTTGAAGCTCGGAATAAGACCAAGGGCGGTTCATTTGAGGTATTGAATTCTCCTCTCACCCCTTAAAATGATGAGTCTTCTGATAAGCTTGATTTATGGACTATTCATCTTTTGCATTTTCTCTAATTGCAGGGTGATGACAAGGACTTTTTCAAATTTAGAGTAGGATCTCAAGAGGTGAGAGGCTAATACTCTATGTTTATAGCCAGGTGGTATGTGGTAATTTGGAGCATGGAAATGAGAACCTGCTAGATTCCAATGTTCGGTACAATTGTTGAACATGGTAGTATCAGAATGTACTCTTTGATCTTACATTGTGATGGACAAGGACAACAATGAATTTAGGAATTCAATTAAGACTTTGAAAACATAATGGCATATAAATCATACCCTCATCTCTTGTAGGTGACTTGCATTGCCTATCTGTGTTTGGTTGCTCAATTTTAGTTTTTAAATTATCAGGTAATACCAGCATTTGAAGAGGCTGTTTCAAGCATGGCTCTTGGTGGCATTAGAAGGTGCGTGGCATCTCCCATATATCAGCCTTGTGTTATTAAGGAATTGTTTCAAAAAGTTAGTAAAACAACTACTAGACAAAGACATTCGTGTAATTTTATCAATGGGATGAAAAGTTGAAAGATAAGGAGGTTTACTTGAGTCATTGATTTTAAACATTAGGCCTGAGTGCATGTATGGGCAAATTTCACAATCTAGTTCACAGTGGTGCAGGATTATAGTGCCCCCGGAATTAGGATACCCTGAGAACGACTTCAACAAGAGTGGACCAAGACCAACCACATTTTCGGTAACAATTTGGTCTTCTTGGTGATTCTATGATACAATATGGGATTTTGTTTGAAAATTGCAAATTGTTTGTGTGACAGGGCCAGAGAGCCTTGGATTTTGTTTTGAAGAACCAAGGGCTGATAGATAAGACTCTTTTGTTTGATATTGAGCTACTTAAGATCATACCAAACTGATCTTCGACCAAAATTCAACTTAGCTCATCAAGTACAACTTCCTGCATTTAGAGGTTAGTTTCTTTGTGGGCAATATCTTGCTTAAGTGGAAAAGTATTTGGATTATAGCTTTAGTGACATTTGAGTTCTTATGTTTAATTCAGAGTGCTGAGATTTTGATGCATTGATTTGAGGAAGCTGGTTTGATAAATTTCCATCCATCTCGAGGAATGACAGTTTTATCTTTCTGGAGCTCGAGAGTTTTCCTTATTTTTGTTCCGTTTTTGTCGATACAATATCTAAATCTTGGTGTTTTTATTTTATTTTTTTGTTGCTCCAATTACTTGTGTAAATCTTATCTGGTTAAATTGGATTGTAATGGATATAGTACTTTTTCAACCCATCTGGAATTGAAGTACAGTTATTTTATGATAGGTGTTTTTAGTGCAACTGTTATTTTATGATTTTATCATTGAGATCAAATGTTGTTCAATGCCTCATGAGATGAGGAGAAGTTTGTTGTCTAGGATACCCATCTCTCATAAGAAAAGCATGCAAGATTTATGAAGTGCAGGTATAAACTTTCTTCTATTGTTTCATTAATCTTTCTTTTTTTCTTTGCTAAAAGATTAAAGAAATGCTCTAACTTCATCCCAACTTTGTGAATAAAGTGCTGACTTTTGCCACTGAATTTGTCATATTGGACCTGCCCATATCTTCTTCTTCCTTTCTTTTTTCCATTTTTTTTTAAATTTTTTTTCTTTTTGCTGGTCTTACATTGGATAAATCTTGGTCAAACCCAATTTACTACATCTCAGCTAATAATCTAGTTTTCTCATTTTGTCTCTGTTCTTTGCTTTAGGTACTTGGCCACTTGAGAAGAATCATATCATTTGATGTTTGTTGATAATTTTCTTCCAACTCAAAGTCCAATGCTTTTCAGTCAAAATTTCAAGGACACAAAAATACATCAAGTATAAAAAATGCATATTTTTCTACACACTGTTGCTTCACTTAATGTTTTTTTTTTGTTTGTTTTTTTTTTGAAGTTAAAACCACCAAAATCCATGACATAAAGATTCCAAAAATACACTACAACTGAAAGAAATTCAACACAAAACAAGGTTCAATACAAGGCAATTAAATCCGAGCAACAATCCAACAGAAAAGCACGGGAGCTTCAGTGAAGAAAAGTGCCGCAGCAGATACAAAACAAATGCATAAAGAGGAGCCAAAACCATCCTATATGCGAGCTAACTTAGAAATGCCAATAGCCCACCTACGTCTTTTGAGACTAGTTAAAAGATAGTTCTCGTCGCTTGTAGCGCACCATCACCTTTCCTTTCACACCTACAACCATGGCATTCCAATCGGTCTCGGGAAACGGCGATACAAGTTCTAACTCAAAGTTCCTCAATAAATGACTCCATATTGCCTTAATTTGCAAATATGCAAATGGCTCACCAAGGCATCCATGTCTACCACCTCCAAATGAGATATATGAGAAAGGCCCTGCCACCTTGTCCTCTTCTCTCCCAGCTGCAAATCTGTGGGGATCATACCTATCTGGGTCCTTAAAAACATGAGGAAGCCGGTTAGTGAAAGCTGGCGATGTGGCAACTATGTGGCCCTTTGGAATGTCATATTGCTTCCCCTCTCGGGTTTGTACACTAAAATCGCTATGCGAACTACGTAGCAGCATAATCAATGGAGGGTGGAGTCTAAGAGCTTCCTTGATGCTTCGATACAAGACATCCATCTCAGCCAAGATATCATGATCCACCCTCTTCCCATGCTTTTCCATCAGTTTTTTCTGCTCCTCCAATGCAGCAGTCAGGTACTCCTTGTGACGGAGAAGATAGGCTCCAGTCCATGTTGAGGTGATAGAACTAGTGTGCTGCCCAGCAAAGAGAGCGGCAATTAGCAAGCCAGTCACCTCAGACTCGGTTGTTGAGCGGCCATCCTTGTACTTGGACTCAATAAAACACTGTAACATGTCATTCTCTGACTTGCCACTTTGCTTACGGGAAGCTATGATGTTTGCAAAGATTTCTGCTAGCTTCTTGCGTGCCTGGTCACGGCGGCGGTGAGCTGGGATGGGAAGGTATGGGAGGATAACACTAATAGGAAGCATCCCATTGTCAAGGTCATGGAACAAGGCAGAAACATCAGCAAAGAGCTTGTCACGAACTTCTCGGCCCAAAAGACATCTGCTGGCTGTTAGGATAATCAGATGCTCTAGCTCATCCTTCAGGTCCACCTCGCCGCTGTCACCCCACTTGGAGAAGTAATCCTGCGAAATGCTAGTGTGAATGGAAAGAATTAAAACCATGAATCTCCTCCATTAGATATGAATAACAGTGAAGAATACAAGACGAATTAAAAATTTCTAAATAACTGGACCACTGGTTGTGTCTTTAGTCAGGAATTAAACTATGAAAACGTAAAACACCAACTCATTAAGCGAAGATCATGCAACTAAATGTGCGTTTATGAGGAGCATACTGTGAATTGCTAGCAATGTGGCTGGTTATCGTTCATGCTTGAACCGAACATGAAAAGTATAAAGTATAGCTTAATCACATGAAAAGATAGATTACAGAATTATTGTTGACAACTTAATGGTACGTTAAGATTAATTCTAGTAAGCCTTAACAGGAAAATAACTTTACATTTTCAGCTTCTCGAGGTTTTATATAATTTGTGTTTCGAGCCGAATGAGTCGTCTAGCACAATTGGCTGGATTTTGTATATTTAAAAATATTAGTTGAAATGGCGTTTTTCAATCAATCACCATTCCTGGCACAATTTACTAGGTTTTATTGTTGCCATGTAGCAAAGCCTTGGCTTAAAAAGTAACACTCTACCAAGAAAAAAACTCAATGAGCTAACTAACACTTAAAACAACAAAATATTACGAATACATTCGCTCCAAGTTCTCACCTCTGCTTCCGTAACCATCTGATCCACATAACCCTTGAGTTTATTGACTCTGAGAGCCTCCGTGAAGAAGCGGAACTGCTCCTGGCGGACTGAGTAATCGACGTCAAAGACGACCCCGGGTCCAAAAGTCGGCACATTGAACTGGTATACCTCCTGCTGGCTAAGATCAGACTCGGGGGCCTTGAAGAAGTGGGCCGAAACCTCATGGCCAATCAGGAAAGTTATCCTCTTGTGAAAAATGTTCACAGTGAACACACTACCAAGCTTGGGAAACTCTTCACGGAGCATCACAACCGGACCTTTTATGAATCGGAGAAGTCCCCCAACGAGAGGCCAAGTCCTCACCACCGGAGGGAGCCGCTTCTTAGATCGCGGCATTATAAGCACAGAGATGAGCTTGGCCACCACTAGAGTGGCCACTATGAGCAGGCCCGTATTCAACAACTTGTTATCAACATCCATCCTTAGGTGATTCTGATTGAATTATGGGGGACCCAACTGAAAATTTTCACCGAAACAGGAAAATCAGCTAAGCAAATCAATCACATTTTGTAATTAGAAATTACCATAAATTCTAACAATCACAACTCGCACAAAAAGAAAAAAAAAAAAAAAGTCATAAAAGAAACTAACGACATTACAAATTACAATGCAATTCCAGCAACTAGAACTCGCGCTGAAAGAGAAAATATCACTAAAATGAAAAAGAAAAAGGCAAATTCACTAAAAACAATGCAAAAGGAAATAACAACGCCTAGAAAATCCAATTTTATTCAATCCCTTGCTGGAAAGAAAAAAAAAAAGAGTGACGACAATAATCGAAAAGGATGGAACAATTCAGGAAATGCAGGAAACCGGTGATGAGAAATCGAACAAAAAAATACTTGCCAAACTGAAGATTCAGAACAAATAGATAGGGAAAGCAATTAGGATTAAGAAATTAGGGATCTTCGTACGTGATTGACGACGATAATCCCAAGGTTTATATGAAAAATATTAAAGGAGAGAGAGTGAGTAAAAGGAAGTCACTAATTAGGCTTTGTTTGTTAAAATTGGGATCAGCCTCTTTAAAAGAAACTGGACTGAGAAATGAGCGGAGCCGAATTGTGGTTAGGATCTGGAAAACAGTGGGCCAGGAAAAGGTTGTTTGCCGTACACGTGGCGTTCTGCAATTGGTTCCTTACAGTTTGTATCACGTGCCAAGTTGGATTCCTCCGTGAGAATACGACAAAAGGCAGCTAAGCTTGGGCTTCGGGCCGGTTTCTACAATACCAGCAGCGTCCCCGGCCGCCGTTATGGTATGAATTCCTATTTTTTTTTATAATTCGTAACAATATAATTTTTTTTTGGATAAAAAATTTAAATTTAAAAAATCAGAATTAAAATTATTAATTTAAACTCATAAATTAAATAAATCCTTAAAAATCTATTTTTTTTTATAATTCGTAACAATACAATACAATCTAATTAATGACTGATTTCAATTTATGGACGATCTAAAATGTTAAAATTTAAAAGATTCAGGGTTCAATTTGATGATGAACGAAAAATTTGTGGTACATTTCTATAAAAATCTAAGGCAATTTACATCCAGAGATCCATTAGTTATTGAACCACAATTGTAACACATTTTTAAATTCAAGGTCCATTTACCAAAGTGAAAAGATTGGTGTCTAGGTTGCCAAAACTAATAAATTCAAGGTGCATCAATGTAATTAACCCTAGATCAAATCAATCAGTCTTAAAATGAAACAATATAAAAACACTGGTAATCTTCTCTTCGAGATCCTAAACAGTAGTCAAAAGAACCTAGATGTATTGGCAATAAAAAGAAAACAAAACAAAATATAGGGCGAAGTAACCGCTTGTTTGAAATAAAAAAAAGTGGCATATGTGACCGAAGAGAATATAACCAAAAGATCCTAACAACTATTAATCTTATATGATCACAAGTTAGGATAGTGGATGTGGCCTCTATCAAGTTCAAGTGGTAGCTCAGTTACTGATCAGGAATGCAGCGACAGAGAGCCAACCACGTCGACTACAACCATGATACATATATTAATCTATTTAATTAAATCCATTAAATAATACATTTATTTAATTTTTAATGACACATCATATCAGTAAAACTGTTTGGATTATAGACAAAAGTGGATGAAGAGGGTATCTTATTTTGCTTTCTATAAATCAAGGGGTATTTTGATATGTTTTGATAGATTATGAGGTATTTTGAAATAAGGTATATTTCAGGGACATTTGTGAAAATAATCTATTAATTATCTCCATAGCCATTGCCATGTCATCAAAACTGTTAATTAGATAAATAGCAGGAGTAAAGTTAATAACATTTCAAAACTCAGGGGGTGTGCAGACTAATTTTCAAAGTTTGGGGATAAAGTTATAAAAAGAGTAAAGTTCGGGGTCAAAAATAAAATATACTCTATTTTTATATTAGAAAATCTCTTAATTTTAATATTGAGCAACTTATTTGATTATTTACTTGTAATGTCACTTATATAGAGACTCATTCATATTACTCTTTATCAATGAGCATTCTCCTTTTTCTTAGTCCGTAATATAAACACTTTGCCGAAATATGATAAATCTCTGTCTCTCTTCTTTATTTTATTTTCTTGTTTAATTATTGTTATTAACTTCACCAAAATAATAACATGCAACACAAGAAAGGGTAATTCTTATCTCACCTTCTTTCTTTTTTTCCTTTGAGAGCTTATTACCTTTTTACCTATGTATTTAACTAAAGTAGTATTGAATTTGACTAATTTAAGAATATTATATGATAAATTGACAATTTGATATATCTTATGCATAGCAAGTGGGAATTCTTTTCCAAGAAATTAGAAATTCACTGAGAAAATAAAGCTAACGCAAGCTCTTCATACCTGGGATTGACTTTCAATAAATGCCTGCAGGTTCTCCCCCACTAATATAGTTGTGCAAACAAACTTTCCTTCAGGATTTTTACGATTTAGAGTGATAATAAATTATGGATGCTTATAAACTCGAGGCTGAATTATGCAAGCTTTGTTACCCCTTTCTTTAGGTGGTCTTCACCCAGTATAAGAACAATATTCCAAGTCATGTCTCAAGACTCAAATCATGAGAGGCTCCACAAAAATTTGGCCTTTCAACGAGTCCCTAATTTTGTAAAAGGGTCAGGAGTATAATATACTTTACCCAAGTATGGAATTATCATTTCTAAATCATTGATCTCATATCTTTGCCTCCTCTTTGCAGTTTGTACAATGTTATATATCTTACAGAAAAAAAGATGTGAAAATTGACGTATACACAATTTCACTTACCTATGGAGTTCTGTAATCTATATATCTATATCTATATATCATATAAACGAGACCATATATACTTTAGTTTTAGTACCATGCAAAGAATATGCCATTTATCTTCCCTTTCACATTGGGAAATATCAACTGCACTTCATGAACAAACAAACAACAGAAAAATCTATTAAGCATTTGGAAGTTTGTTCCAAGATATTTGTTCTTTCTTTCTTCTTACAGATATTGATTTCATATCGTAAGGCTATGGTTCATTTTCTTGGCTCCGCATCTTATCTTCCAACCTCCTGAATTTGCTTTGTAACCTTTCAAAAACCAAAACCAATACCAAAATAGCGCCAAATAATCCCATAACTAAAAAAAAAAAAAAACAGATAAACAACACTACCAATATTTATGGCCTGTTCAATATCATCTCCACAAAATAACCAAAGCATTTATCTAAATCCAAGCTTCCTATCAAACAGAAGGACATCAATAAAACCAATATTATTCAAGAGCACCAACATAAACTTTCCGTTCTCCTCACCGCCTTTATCCAAACCTGTTATAATCTCCCTGAAATCTTCGAGCATAGCCAAGTACGACGATGTCGTCGTGGTGGACGAGGAGATGGACAAGATCAGGAGGCTCCAGAATGGATCAGACGTGCGGGGAGTGGCGTTGGAGGGAGAGAAGAATAGGACGGTGGACCTCACTCCGCCGGCGGTGGAGGCCATCGCGGAGAGCTTCGGGGAGTGGGTCATCGAGGGGCTTGAGACGCCAGTGGAGAATGTGAGAGTGTCACTTGGCAAAGACCCCAGAATATCAGGCCCTTCTTTGAGTGTTGCGGTGTTTTCTGGGCTGTCTCGTGCAGGTTGCGTTGTGTTTGACATGGGACTTGCCACCACTCCCGCTTGCTTCATGAGCACAGTTTTGCCTCCATTTGCATTTGACGCTTCTATCATGGTAGTATAAAATACACCAGATAATTACAGCAATCTCATAAATTTGTTTTAAGAGAAAGAAAAACAAAAGCTAGCTAAACATTAAACCTCGCTTAAACGAATGATAATTAGGTGAAGGATAAGACAAGTAGCTAGTGCCAGACCTTTTCTTTTGGGAGTGTAAAATTGATTATTAGATTTAAAGATTTAAATCTTGATTAGACTTTAAAGCATACTACACTGAAGAGCTAATATATCCAGATGGTATATTCAGAGTCCTTTAAAAAAAAAAAAAAAAAATTGTTATTTCAGAGTCAAGGACTCTTATTGATAGTACAACATGAGTTCGAAACTATTATCGTGTTTTCCTGTTCCCTTGGTTGACTCTTAAAATGAATGTTAAAAACTTAAACATCACATGAATAATAAAATCGCCCTTAGACAAGACTACCGAGACTTATTCTATTCTAATCTAGTTATGCGTTAAATTTGCTAGAAAAGAAATTGGAAAATCAAATTGTAATGTAGACTTTGTTGTGTTTTATAAGCGCAGATGACAGCGTCGCACTTGCCCTACACACGCAATGGCCTAAAATTTTTCACGAAGAAAGGAGGGCTAACTTCACCGGATGTGGAGGAGATATGCGGCAAAGCCGCCCGTAAGTATGCTAATCGGCTAACGAAGGTGTCGACGTTGCTTAATGTTCCTCCGACAAGAGTCGATTTCATGAGCGCTTACGCACAACACCTTCGGGAGATTATTAAGGCTAGAGTAAACCATCCAATTCACTACGACACTCCACTCCAAGGATTTCAGGTTTTTCTTTCTCTCTCTCTCTTAATTTTTCACTGATTTTCGGTTCGTCTATATGTAACGAAAATGATCTGATCAATGCTAACAATTCAATACGTTCTCATCTTATTTTAATTGAAACTTCTTAGGATTAGAGTAATTTATGTTTACAGATTAAGCACTTGAACACGAAGTCTTGTAACTGCATGCAACATGTCTATCGAAATATTATATGTTGGATACATATCAGATTTCCAATCTTATATAGTAGGCTCTCATATATTTTCTTCTAATTTTATGGAGTGTGATCTATTCTATAGTATGGAAAATAACAAAAATTTCAACTGTCCCTCTACAAACCATCATTTAATGCATGAAAAATCGTTATGTACGGCATAGACGTAGCTAGTATATCCCCACTTAAATTTTTAATTTTTAATATAACATATAAATGTGTATTATATGATATATTTGATGTATATAAAATAGCCTCCATTGAATTAATCTGTCCCGCGATAGATATTGATTTCAATTAAATTTTTGTTAAAGTTATTAGCCTGCACTACTGATAAAATTTCTGACTTCGTCACGGATGTACAGTATGGTAAGATTTGATTGGCCGTGCGATAAGATCACTCAGTTCTTTTTTCATTTAGCATTTCAATATTCTAACTATTCCAACTAAACCTATGACAACGAGCATTCTCAGCCCAAAAAGCTGACCAATATAAAGCTTATAATGCCAATTGATGAGCACTAAAATTAGTAGCACTGTCATAGCAGCTGTTTTGCCATGTTATTAATTGTGTGTATCACAAATCTAAGGCCTTAACAATGTGGTGCCAATGATCCAAAATTGCAGATAATAGTAAATGCTGGAAATGGATCAGGAGGCTTCTTCACATGGGATGTTCTAGACAAGCTTGGTGCAGACACCTTTGGATCTCTCCACCTTAACCCAGATGGAATGTTCCCAAACCACATCCCCAACCCAGAGGACAAAACTGCCATGGCACTCACCAGAGCCGCGGTGCTCGAAAACTCCGCTGATCTTGGAATAGTCTTTGATACTGACGTTGATCGCAGCGGTGTGGTCGATAACAAGGGCAACCCGATCAACGGGGACAAACTTATTGCTCTCATGTCAGCCATTGTGCTGAGGGAACACCCTGGAACCACCATTGTGACCGATGCTCGCACTAGCATGGCGCTAACGAGATTCGTCACTAGTAAAGGTGGTCGCCATTGCCTGTACCGGGTCGGGTACCGGAATGTTATTGACAAGGGAGTGCAGCTGAACAAGGATGGCGTTGAGACTCATCTCATGATGGAAACTTCTGGCCATGGCGCTCTTAAGGAGAACTATTTTCTTGATGATGGTAAGTACAAAAAGAGTACTATTCTGCGTGATATTTATGGTGCTAGAAATACTACAAAAATTAAGAATGTTATTGTCCCCTGAACATGTTCAGAGCAAAGTTGTGTGGATTAGTTAAAAATTAGGTAAAAGAGCATCATTAATGCTTTTCACGTATGGGGTTATGCATATTTATGCTTTTATTTTTCCAGTATTAAACATGAAATAATCTGTAATTTCACAGACTCTGGATTTTAGTCTTTCTTATTTCCATGTTTTATTGTATTCAATAGGGGCTTACATGGTGGTGAAGATCATAATTGAGATGGTGCGGATGAAGCTCGAGGGATCGGACGAAGGCGTTGGTAGTCTCATAAAAGATCTTGAGGAGCCATTGGAGTCTGTTGAGCTAAGGATGAACATAATCTCCGAGCCTAAATATGCGAAGGCAAGAGGAATTGAGGCCATTGAAACATTCCGGGACTACGTTGAGGTACTAAGAAGCAATAATGTGAGAAAATTAGTCTGAATTTTAACCAAGGCAAAAGGGTACTTAATTATACTACTTGTTCTTTAGGAAGGGAAACTTGAAGGGTGGGAATTGGACGCCTGTGGAGATTGTTGGGTGAGTGAAGGCTGCCTTGTCGACTTAAACGACACTCCAGCCGCCATCGACGCGCACATGTACAGGTACTAAGATCCGAATTACATTTCGATTGGATTGATGTGGAGGTGTATGATGAATTTTCAATAGCAACAAATTATATTTTTCATGTGTTAGTTAAAGAAAGGAAAAAAAATAATGTTACTTCATGAATTTCAGAGCAAAAGTTTCGGATAAGGAACATGGGCAGTTTGGTTGGATACACCTGAGGCAGAGCATTCACAACCCAAATATTGCCGTAAATATGCAGTCATCTGTGCCCGGAGGTTGCCAAACGATGACAAGAGTTCTCATAGATAAGTATGTCACAATTACAACTCAACAAAAATATGACGCCTCAATTAAATTGAACATATGACGTGTGTTGGATCCAATATAGTGATTTTGTCATGTGATTTATTTTGGCTTTTGGCTTTTTTTTTTGGTTGCAGATTTCTCTTAGCAGGTGAATTGGATAGTATTCTAGACATTAGCCAGATTGAAAATTATGTCAAAAGTGGACAAGGAAGCTAAATAGCTAGTCTTTGGAAGTAGATCTAGAGCAAGGCTCAATGTAGGAGCATCAAAATCATTTTATTTGGTACTGAAGTGTTACAAGTATATATGATCATGTATAGTGACAAGGGTAAAACTGTAAAGAGGGATTCTGTAATTAGTCTGAACAACGTCATTAATGTAATACATCCCAAGGTTTCATATATATACCAGTATACCCCTGAAAAACAATAAAGTGAAGGGAGTAATAACAGCCTTGGTGGATAGTTGGTTTGCTCAAGTTCTGTTTCCAAATGCTTGTTTCATTAGTTTTGGTTTTGTTATTGCTTAAATATGTCTTTCTTTCCGATTCTCTGGGGAAATATGCTTGGAAAGTTTAATTATAACCTTATTTTGATGAGGAAATTAAACCTCAAGAGCATGTTTATTAAAGCACAGCAGAATGTAGTAAATAAAAAAAGGGTCAAGGGCTTTGAAAGGAAAAGGGTACTACCAGTGTTAAGCAGCATTATTAAAGATGCGCCTATTTGTGGGTTCCACACTATAAGACTCACATTTTATTAGTAGATGATACTTAACACCACCGGTACCTTATAGCAATACTCAACAAGAAAAAAATGGAAATCATTGGTTGAATAATGCTATAAATGTGCACCAATACCAAGCATACATAGTTGAAGATATTTAAATACAAGAGACACAGAGAGAGGGAAGAATAAAAGAATAATGTTATAAATATGCACCAATACGAGAAATTAATTAAAATAAATAAACATGTTGACGTTTTCAGTCTTTCGACTTTGCCCTTCCTTTAGGGTTTCGTCACTTTCTTTGAGTGCCTCATCTTTTTCGTTTGGGAGGGCCGGAGTCCGGCGCCACCTTTGGGCGTGTCACCAGATGCCCGGCCCTAGTAGGTAGGTTTTGGGCTTGCGGAGGATCGGATGAAGATGGGTTTTGAGGGCGAATCTGTATTCGTTTTAGTGTTGGATCTTTGTACAATTGGAGGGGGTGGAGGTAGCGTTTTCAGCCGCCATTTGGGGGATTGTCGGAACCCAATTGGGCTAGCATATTGGACGCTCTGGTCCTCTCAGCACAATGGTGCTTCCGGTGAGGTGTGTGGTTTGGTGGGTCTCGGCGTTGCTTGCTTCCCTCTTGTTGGTGGTTTGGATGTTTGTCTAGAGCTTTTCCCTTTTCCGGCAGTGCAGCTGTTCTCCTCTTGGATTCAGAAGCTATCTTAGCATTAGAATCTTCTTCTGTGCGGTTCAAGACCTTCTTAGTTAGTTTTTATTTTGTTCAAATAAGAGCGATGTTGCTTTCGTCATTTCTATGTATTTGTGTGTTTTTAGAGTGTTTGTCGTCTTGTTATGAAATAACGAAGGTGGTCTCCCCACTCTTCGGTTTGGGTTATGTGTCTAATCCTCTAGATTTGTTTCTATGCGGTGTTGTTGGTGGCATTAGTGCTTTAGGTTTCTTGATCTCGATCGATCGAGTTTTTTCATCGATTGTAGTGGTCTTATTGAAAGAGCCTTATTTGTGCTTGATATTTAGTTTGCCTATTGAGCTTTCGGGTGTCGGGACTCGGTGCACGTTTATGCTCATTCAGCGTTTTATTCAAATTTATTAGTGGATCCGATTGATGTTTGGGGTCAAGACTTCTTATGTTTTAGGGTCATTTAATTTGTATCCGTAAATATATTTGGGTCGTTTATTTCCGAATTAGTGGTTGTATTTCTTTGTTTTGAAATGCAATTTTCCTTAAAAAAAATACGATAAATTAATGCTTCACTGTGAAATTTGTGTCAAACAGGGTAAAGATATATATGTACACGTAGCTAGAGATCAAGGTACAATTGCCATAAATAGATCCCATTCTAGTATATGCTTATATGCAAGCTGCACGCACGTATTCAAAAAAGGCCGTTTACTTTCAAGTTTCAAATTTGAGGACAATTGGCAAGTAATGTAGCATTTCTATGAATGAGAGAAAAATAGAAGAGACAAAATGACAAAAGATGGGCGCGTTTGAAACTTATTTCAAAATGATTTTATTTTTTGTATAAAAATGAAAATGAAAACGTTTTCAATCTCAAATAGAAATTATTTTTGAAAATGTGTTTAGTAGTTTTATCAAGAGATTATTTTTAGTATAAAAAAACGCATTAATGTCTCTCTCTCTCTCTTTGCTCGAGAGAGGAGAAAACGAAAATAAAAAATGAAAAATGAGGGGTTGTTTGGTTGGGGGATTCGTACCTCGATTCGAATCATGATTCATGATTTGCTACAGTGTTTTCTCTCACAAAAAATACACATAAATCGAAAATAGTTCTAATCTTATGATTCTAATCAATGAACCAAACTTCTCCTAAAAGTCTTTTTTTATTTCTCTCTCATTTTACGTTAAACTAAAAAATCGTTTTCATTTTTGTTTTTTATCTTTATTGCGCCAAACGCTGTTTTAAAAATATTTTCATTTTTTCTTTCTCAAAAAACGTGAAAAAAATAGAATCAAGCTAATATTACTATAAACATACAATAATATGAGTAATCAATGCTTCGCTACGAGATTTATATCAATTATAGATAATGATATACACATGTAGCTTCCTTCAATAAACACACACACAGTAGGTATCTGGAGATCAAGATAAAGGCCATATATTCCTATTGCAAATTTGTAATGTACTACTTTATGCTTCTCCCTTTTTGTGTTCTTTTTTTTAATCAATGAGCATAAGACCCGTTCAGTTTACTAATTTAAGTTTTTAATTTAAGTTGAGATGTGACTTTATGTGAGAGTTTTTTACTGTAATAAAAAAATTAGATGTGACTGTTTATGATAATTTTTTACTGTAGTAAAACTCAAATTTTAAAATCGAATCGGTGAAATAAATAAGACTTTATGCTGGTATATAAGCAACGCATGCAAAATTAAACGTGTTATTTAAGCAACCCGTGTCTTAGTAACGCCGTTTTCTAGGATTAATTTCTTGATAGATTTGTTGGTTTTGAAAGTCAGATCCATGTCGACACTTAAAATAAAGGACAATTTGAAAGAACTATCATTATTATTATTTTTTTTGGATTTGATTTTAACTGCCTTACAAAATATGCGCACGCTAATCCGAAAGAGTGGATGAAGAAATCATCTAGCTTTTTCGGATAAACAATGACATTTAACTGTTCTTTATCATAATGATTTATTTATTTTCTTGAATCATGATGCTTCTACAAGATTTATAACTGTAATGTTTGGTTTAAGGAAAGTACCGTATTTTTCAAAATGGATTACATTTAATTACTTTTTTTTTTCCCTTTTATTGGATTAGCGTATAATTGGTTTGAATTGACTTCTATGTATACACCCCTGAGTACTCCTTGAGGCTTCAATGAATCCATTACAGAACAATAATTTTTTAAAGAGAAAATTACTAAACAATTATTAATGAAATACAACGAAACAGAAAGTTCCTGACATGAATGATTTCAAGAAGTTTCTAATTCTTAAAAAAATCTCAGTAGACTCCGTATGATTTGTTGGTCATCTACGACTTTAAAAACCATTTTACAATTACGTACAAGTAGAGGTAGTAATTCGTGTCATGTGTCGTGTTTTAATCATTTTTTTTAATTTACAGTCAACCCGAATACGACCCGTGACACGAAATTTTTTAAAAACCGCAACACGAACACGACACGACCACTTTACGAGTTGACACGACACGACTCAAAAATGACCCGTGACACGAAATTGACCTGTGAACCCGAAATTAACACGAAAATTATATACTTTTATTTAGTTTTTTATATATTAGAAATAACTTAAAATTCATAACACACTAAATTACAATAACATCCATTGAAATTAAGCAAATAATAATATAAGATTTTGAGTATAACTATCATGATATCACAAGTTCATAATAAAATTTAAAATATGAAATGAAAAATATATATTTTTTTTAGTTTTTTATAAGTTTCGTATCGTGTTCAGATTAGGCGGGTTTAACCTGAAATTGACCCGTATTTTTCATGTCAATTTCAGGTCGATCTAATTCTGACTCGAACCTCTTTTTTCTCAACCCTAACTCACAAAATTCGTATCATTTTTAAATCATATCGTGACCCATATTATTGACAATACGTACAAGGCATAAATAATTTTTCTAAGTCATGACATGATAGGAAGACGCGGATGTAGACGTAGTCTATATATATATATATATATATATAATTATATATAATTATATATATCATATCAAATCCAATTAATAGTGAAAAGCGAATCCTCTTACGATCAGAATTCCTGAATGACTTTGGGTTTAAAGTCGTTTTCGCTTTATAATAACTTATTATATCAGAATAAAAAATATACTTGGTTGAGTCTCCATTGCCCGAGTTTTTCTTTTCCCAGGTACGAGAGAAGGGAACCGATGTGATGGTTAACTATTCACCGGCAAGATTTCTTTATTTTTTAGGGACTTTTTTCGGTGTCTTTTTTTTTTTTTTAGAACACTAGTGTTATATATTTTTTAACCGTTAAATCTGTATGAGAATTTATTTATTTTATATATTTTTTAATTTAGTATGATTTTAATCAGATTTAACAGTTAAAAAAATAGAGAACACAAGTGTTCACAAAAAGAAAAGAATACCGGAAAAATTATTTTTTCTTTAATGTCTCAGTTTTTCTTTTTGTTTAAAAGAATACAATTTATAATCATTAAAACCTCTTTTCTCTCTTTTTCTCTCTCATGAGGTGGCTAGGACTTTGAGTTTGGAATCCCTTCTTAAGACCGGAGTCTGACACTGCCACCAACTGGTCGCCAGACTCTTGGCCCTTGAGACGGTAGTTGAGGTCGTGCAAGAGTAGTCGGTGGTTGATGGGCACGTTCCATTAGCAATGGAGGCAACGATCTAGTGAGTTCGAGTCTGGTATTGCTATTGGTCTAGGGTCTTGGCCCTTCATGAATATGGTTCAGGGGAGGGGCAATAGATGTGTTGAGGCATCTGGTATCAAAGATGGATGCTTGGCGGCTTTTGTTAGTGCGGGGAGCAGGAGGTTTTGGCGAAATGTGACGCATGGGTATCATTTAGGCTGTTTTTGTTGCAATGACTCTGTTCAGATTCAATTTCTTTGACTTTTGTACAATGGTTATTTGACTTGTCGTTGGCGTCTCTTTCTACGTGGCTGAGACTAGTCGTAATTTTAATAGTTTTTGTTAATTTTAATAAAGGCATTATTTTCGACAAGTTTATGTATTGTAATAAGGGATGTGGTTTCCCCATATTCTAATTGTGTTTATGTATCCCACTCATCTGAATTAGTTATGGATGTTATTTACACCTAAATTTATTTCTAGATCATGACACTTGTGTTCCTACTATTAAGACTTTCGTCTCGGTCGACTGACTTTATCCATCTACTGTAATGGTTTTTGTTAACAAGGTTTGGTCGCACTCGATTTTGTTTGTGTCGAGCTGGTTTTTTCTTCTTAGGTCTCGACAGTTGTGTTAGGCCATTTCCTTCATCCGTCTTCACAGGTGGATTGAATCAATGTCTGGGGTCATATTCTTTTGTTGTTTGTGGTCATTCGTGACTTTTTATGTAATTTATTAATTTAGTAAATGAAAATTTTCCTTAAAAAAGAATATAATTTCTTGTTAAATTATAATTTGGCCCTTGATAAAGTATCCACGTAAGAGGTACAAGACAGTTCTATCGATGTAATAAATTTTGAAGTTTAAGGGCTTAATTATCAATATTTTTAATTTAGAGACTGTATTGTCAAGCGCGTACAGTTCAAAGAGTTCCATGCAATGAAAACTTAAGTATGAAGTTGTGGGATTCCCATGACATAACACTTAGGGGGCGTTTGGTATGCAGGAATCAGTAGGAATCATATTCCCAGGAAAGTGATGGAGGGTAATATGATACATTACTATGTTTGGTTCCATACTGGAATCTTTTACAAATTCTCAGGAATATTACATTACCGTGTTTGGTTGTTCGCATGGAAGAAGATCCATAATAATAATAATAATATTAATATTAATAAAAATAAAGATATTAATATTAATAAAAAATATTTAATAATAATAATTTTAATAATAATAAAACTACTAATAATAATAATAAAATAAAAAAATAA